AGATCAATAAAAAAAAGAACCCCAAAACCCCAAAACCCCAAGTCATCCAATTGTTAAGCATTATTTAATTGGTTTAATCAAGTTAATAATAAATTGATATTATTTACCTAAGTAATAGATATTATATCTTTAGAAGATGGTTGAAGCTACTACAAATTTAATAGTGAAGGATATTACCTCCACTGAGTCATACTTAACTGAAAAAGGCATTACTTTCCATGTAAGACTTTACAAGTTTAATTTAATAGACTGTTAAACATGCCGTTGCAAATACTGTTAAAGAAATGCTTGAAAACTGTAAGTTTGAAGGAGATCATGCTAATACAACATTTGCAAAGAATTTGTTTTTAGCAAACAAAAAGAAGAAGGAATAGATGTATTTAGTAATTGCTGTTCACGATACTGAAATCGATATGAAGGCTTTAACCACTCACTTCAAAGCTGGGTCAGGTAATCTAAGAGCTGGTGATGAAGCTGTAATGGAGCAAATCTTAGGAGTGAAAAAGGGAGCTGTTAATCTGTTTGGTATTCTAAATGATACTGATAATAAGGTAAAACTTGTCCTTGATTCAAGAATCGTAGCTGCTGAAAGAGTAGGCTTCCATCCCATGCAAAATGATGCTACTACTTCCATTACTGTCAGCGATTTACACAAAATCATTGAATTATCTGGTCATAATCCAGAGATTCTTGATTTTTCTTCATTATAATCTGAAGCTGCTCCATCAGGAGAAGCTAAACAAGCTCCCGCCAAAAAGGCTCCCCAAGCAAAGAAAACTGAGGAGAAGAAAGAAAATGCTCATCAACTTGGAATTGAATATACTAAGGAGCAGAATTTCTCAAAGTGGTATCAATAAGTTATAACCAGAAGTGAAATGATTGAATATTACGAAATTTCTGGATGCTATATTCTGAGACCTCTCTCTTACTTTATCTGGGAGAGCATCTAAAATTTCCTTGATCCTAGATTCAAGAAAAACGGCGTTTCCAACTGTTATTTCCCAATGTTCGTCTCAGAAGCAGCACTAAGTAAGGAGAAAGATCATATTGCTGGTTTCGCTCCAGAAGTAGCCTGGGTTACCAAATCTGGAAAAACTAATCTTCCAGAACCAATTGCCATTAGACCTACTAGTGAGACTATCATGTATCCTAGTTATGCTAAATGGATTCACTCTCACAGAGACTTACCTCTATGTCTTAACCAATGGACCAATGTTGTCAGATGGGAATTCAAACACCCAACTCCTTTCATTAGAACAAGAGAATTCTTATGGCAAGAAGGTCACACAGCACATGCTACAACTGAGGAAGCTGATGTAATGGTTCTAAGTATTCTAGATTATTATGCTGATTGCTACAAAGAATTACTAGCTGTTCCAGTTATTAAAGGAAGAAAATCAGAGGAGGAGAAATTTGCTGGTGCAAATTATACTACCACAGTTGAACTTTACGTTCCATCTAATGGCAGAGGTATCTAAGGTGCAACCTCTCATTAGCTTGGTCAGAATTTTGCTAAGATGTTTGATGTCTGGTTTGAAGACAAAGCTGGTCAAAAGCAATTTGCCTGGCAAACATCTTGGGGATTCTCTACTAGATCAATTGGAGCTATGATCATGGTTCATAGTGATGACAAGGGTCTTGTTCTTCCTCCTAGAGTGGCTTAAATCTAAGTTGTTATTGTTCCAATTACCTATAAGGATGACGATTCTAATACCATCTTGGCCAAAGCAGAGGAAGTGTATAACTCATTAAAAGCAGCAGGGGTAAGAGTTTTCTTAGATGATAGAGAAAATTATAACCCAGGATTCAAGTATAATCATTGGGAGCTTAGAGGAGTTCCAATTAGATTGGAGTTAGGCAAGAAAGATATTGAAAAGGGTGAGGTCAGAATGGTTAGAAGAGATAATGGAGACAAAGCATAAATGAAGCAAGAAGATTTAGCCTCAGAGATTCCTCATATGCTCAATAAAATTCACAATGATATGTACGAGAGAGCATTAAAGACTAGAGATGAGCATATGAAAGAAGCTTCTACTTGGGAATAATTCATGGAAGCTCTTAACGCCAAGAATATTGTATAAACTCCCTGGTGCAATGTCCAAGAATGTGAGAAAAAAGCAAAGGATAAATCAAAGGAGGAATCCCTTAAAATCATGGAACAGGCTGGAGAGGAGGAAGAAGTTCTTACTGGATCAGCTAAGACTCTATGCTTGCCCTTCTAACCTTAGACTCCCTTAGTAGCTGGAGAGAAATGTTTCCATTGCGGAGAAGAGGCTAAAATTAAGGCACTTTGGGGTAGATCATATTGAAACCTTAAAAAGTTAATTTTTATTCTTTTCTATTCAAATTCAAGCGATTAATTTGTTACGGGGTTTTGGGGTTTTGGGG